ATGGAGCATCCAAAGAGATGCACACTGATGGGGCCGAAGGAGTAGCAGGTGCAAGTGATATCACCGATTCAGCAAGATCTGATGGAGTAGCAGGTGCAAGTGATATCACCGATTCAGCAAGATCTGATGGAGTAGCAGGTGCAAGTGATATCACCGATTCAGCAAGATCTGATGGAGTAGCAGGTGCAAGTGACATCACCAATTCAGCAAGATCTGATAGAGTGAGTAGCAGGTGCAAGTGATATCACCGATTCAGTAAGATCTGATGGAGAAGCAGGTGCAAGTGATATCACCGATGCAGCGGAAGGACTCGCTGCATCAAAAGAGATGCCAGGGGAGTCTGATTGCCGTCTTTTGCTTTGCATACCTTTTTTGGTTTTGTTTGCCTCCACTTTTCCCTTTGGCAATAGGTGCGACTGGTGGAGGCGCTGGCATGAAAGCGTCATTCTTTTCGGTAGGATCATTTGGATCTTCCTCGTCATCATCTTGAACTTCCTCCAGGGGAAAATCAAATTCGATTTGTTGTGCTTGGACTGCCATGCTGACTTGAGCTTCGTCCTCGTCTTCGGACTCATCTTCGGTCTCTGCATGGGGCATCGAACGGGATTTTTGGGCTTCTTTGAGTTTGGCCAGCTAGGCCGCTTTGGTGGCCTGTATATCTTTTACGATGACTTCATCCAGGTCATCACTTGCTGTGGCGTTGGCACCTGGCACATTAGCAGCGCCAACAATATCTGAACGGTCAAAAGTAGTTCTGTACGTGATTTCTCTTTTGTACACTTTATGCCAGATGTGGCTTGTGACACGTTCGATTCGCCCATCAACTGCGCCCACAGTGTAAAATGTGTTACTAGTATTATAGGAGTGCCCCATCACTATGGACATTTCACCTTGCAGGACACTGCTTTGCCCAGGCAAGTCCCTTGTTACAGTTACGACCAATTTTCTATTCTTTCTCAGGGTGAAACGTGGCTGGTCCGTGACACCAGCAACGTTCACCATTACCTTATTGGTAATAAGGCCGACGGTACTCACAATGAGGGGTCTGACTTCAGTGGTTGTAGAAAGTGCCGTGCAAAACACGGGAGACAGAGGACTCTCATAGTTTATTAGCGTCGGACGACATAAAAGTACGTAAGCGCTGAGCAGGGGGGCATAGATGCCGAGAACATAGAGGTAGCAGAGGATAGATCTACCTGTTTTATGTCGGCGTACTTTGTATGCACAGTACTTTGTCACTTTCCGTGACAGGGCCAAGGCTGTTCAACGCCCTACCAAGGGATCTAAGAGAGGGGGAGTTAACCCTGGAGACCTTCAAGAGACAACTAGACGTGTTCCTGAGCACAATCCCAGATCGACCTCCCCTGCAACACTACCAGCGGCGAGAAGCAAGCAACAGCATCGTGCATCAGGTGGCCCAAATGAGGGCGGATGAACGATAATCAGAGGCGGCGATCCATCGTGGCCTGGGACTACTATGTCCCAAACAAATACTAAGGATACTAAGTACTGACCCTCCTTGACCACCACTGGACGCCTGAATGACTCTAGATTGAACGTGGTCATTTCGAGCAATCGTCTGGCGCTCTGAATCCCGATTACAGTGACAAGAATGTAACGAAGGAACAAGGTAGTCTTCCTTGTGGGCAACACACTTTGAAATTCCTCTGTTGGAATTTCTGACTTGTCTCTCTTGAGTTCGAGTAGCGTAAAGACTTTCTGACTTGTCTCTCTGACTTGTCGAGTAGCGTAAAGCTAGCTTGCAAAACTCCTGGATCTTTGTCGCGTCAAGAAGCTTGTTAACAGCTTCCACGCTTATCATTGTCCGGAGTTTCTTTTCGTCGATCGACTCAAAGTGGTTCTGCGTTTCCATGTCACGCATAATGATCAGGTTATGTTGATGGACAAGTTCCTTCACATTGCCCACGGAAAAGTTGCCAAGCTTTTCCGAATCCAGCCAGAGATTGTTTAAAAAAAGGGCGAAGGTGGACTGCCCTCAGTTGCCGTACCATTGTACCTTGGCGAAGGCTGCCGCCAACAACCGTGCAGTATGATTGGAGAAGTCGATTGCAATTTCTCAGTATATCGACTATCTCCATGTCGGGGCGTTCATTATCCGGTAGGCTGGCAATGTAACACATAATCACCACCAAAAAATCCTTGAAACTTTTGTTGGCAGACGTTAAACCTTTGGTCGTTGAGTCCATATTAACACGTTGGCCGCGATTGCTGATTTGGCCCGTTTGCCGTACGGGCGACAGGTTCAAACTTGTATATCTTCAGTTACCCGACAGATAGCGAGGAGAAAAGTTGTGTGCAGCTCCGCAGAGGTAAGTTCTGTCATTGTGTCACATAAAAAGGGTGGCCATATTTGGTGCACATCGCTCATGGTTGAAATTATGCATTGTTCCTGGCGATGTGTACCAAATGAAGCCATGCCTGTTGTGGCTCATATTGGCTCACATCGCCTAGCGTTATCACTTCCAATACTGTGAGCGATGTGTACCAAGCAAAGCCATGCATCCTATGGCTTATATTGGCGCATAACGCCTAAAGTCATCACTTCTACTACTGTGAACGATGTGCGAAAGTAATCTACGTTAGCTTTGAGTCACAATTACGCACATTGGCTACAGTAATCTCTTATGTTTTTGTGAATGATGTATTTTACGTATAGGAATGACAATGGAAAGAGTTTGGTGTCAGTGTGTCAGTCCTGAATAAAATTGCGGGTATTTACGTTGTTTGTTCAGTTATATTTACTTTAGATAGATTATGCATCGTATAAGTATATCGTCATGTGCTTCTGTTCATTTGAACGTTTGTCGGTATTATCGATGCTCACAATGTCTTTTTGCAAATTGTAAATTTGATTGTACTCATATTTAACTATTTCTTTCCACGTTAGCTCTATGGATGCGAGAAATTTCTACGGAATGGAGGTCAATGAAAGTTCAGATACAGATGCTGAGATGGATTCTTCAACTGAAAGCTGCAGTAGTGAATCAGAATTGGAGTTAGTCCCAACTGGTTCCAGTCCTAAAAGCAGTGATGAAGAAGAACCTCCAGAAGATTCATTTGAGAATAACGGTGAAGCACTACAGGAAGAAACCAATGGAAAAAGTGCGCCTGATACATGGATTGCTGTTAGTGCAACGCCAAGACAATATCCCTTTACAGGCAAAGAAGAACTTCGACGGAAGCCACGCCCAACTGGTCCAGAAAGCACAGTAATGCCATTCGATAGTTATAGTCTCTTTGTAACGGAAGAAATTATTTCTGAAATAGTAACAGAAACAAACAAATATGCTGATCAAATTTTGCAGAACACAAAGATTACAAGAAGATCGCGACTGAAATGCTGGACTCCCACAAATGCTCATGAAATAAAGAAATTTTTGAGTCTGATAATTGCCATGGGATTAGTACGCAAGCCAAAGCTGGAACTCTACTGGTCTAAAAAGGCAATTTATGACCATCCATTCATCTGCAATACCATGTCAAGAGATAGATTTTCACAACTGCTACGCTTCGTGCACTTCAATGATAATGCTCTTTCTGATAAGTCAAAAAGGCTCCATAAAATAGAACCACCTGTGCAAAAGCTAACTGATAATTACAAGTCAACATATACCCCCGGATCACGACTAGTGATAGATGAATCTATTATTCCGTTCCGAGGCAGAGTGAAGTTCCAACAATACATTCCAGGAAAGGCACACAAGTACGGCGTAAAGCTGTATAAGCTTTGCTCAGCTGATGCCTACACTTGGAACCTTCACATATACACTGGGAACATGGAACGAGAAGCCTCATTCTGCCATTCTGAATCTGTTATTTTGCAGCTATCTCAGCCCCTTCTTGGACAGGGTTCAACTATTTTTGCTGACAATTTCTACACTTCTGTCCCTCTAGCTGAAAAATTGTTGAAAGAGAAGACCTATTACTGTGGGACACTAAGAAAAAATAGAAAATTTGTTCCAAAAACACTGCTAAATGCAAAAGTGAAAACCGGAGAAATGATTTCGCAACAGAACATCGCTGCCATCAAGGTGTATCATTGGAAAGACAAGCGATCTGTCTTGTGCCTCTCAACTATTCCAGAGCGCACAGATGCATTAGTTCCATCGGGCAAGAAAAACCGTAATGGCGTTGAAATTCTGAAGCCAGGATGTGTAATTGATTACAACGCAGCTAAAAAAGGCGTAGACATCTCAGATCAGATGACTTCGTATAGTACGGCTCTAAGACGAAGCACAAAATGGTACCGGAAAGTGGCAATTGAACTGCTAACTGGCACGTCAGTTGTCAATGCATGGGTAATCTTCAACAAGTACTATTCTCGCACTTGTTTCAATTACAGAATTTAGGGAGCAAATAGCAATGTTTCTCGTGACAGGCAGCCACTCAGAGAGTGTAAAATCAGGACGTAGATCTCAAAATGTCGAGGGGAAAAGAGGGCAGCACACTCTAATTGAACCAACAGAAACTAAAACCAGGAAGCGCTGCCATGAATGCTACCAAATGATCTCAGCAAATGAGGGAAGTGCGGTAGCAAGGGTGAAAACTCGCAGGGTAAAAACGTACTGCAATGACTGTGAAGGAAAACCATACTTGTGCGTTAATTGTTTTGCAATCACGCATACAACATAATGCTGATGGCAACACCCAATGTTCGTAGTTTCAGAGGAATAAGAAAATATTTCATTTTGTTTTTGTGCAAAGATACCAACATTTCGCTTTCGTCAAAGGACACAAATTTTGTGATTTTCGTACCACTGGCGTTTGAAAATATAACTTTTTTTTGCTGCAGAGGTTTACTTCATAGCCCTTCTTAACAGGCCAAATGAGTTATATCATTGAAATGCGAATTTGGAAAGAAAAATATTATTTATTAAAAATATGTAATTTTCATTGGCATGTCCACATATGTACACATCGCGATTTTGGCAAGTTCAGCGTGTACATATATGGCGCACATTGCGGCCAACGTGTTAAGTAGACTTAGGTGAAAGTCATTAGGCACCTTGTGCAGTTTTGGAAAGGCTTCCTGAAACCGTGCGTCCTGATAGTAAGTGACTGCTTGGGTCACAAGCACCTTCCCAATTCTTATCTCCAGAAGTTCTCTCCCTGGCTTGGGCGAGAGCATTATGATTTTTCGAGGAATCATATTGATCTACAGATGGGCTACGTGTCCTTTCGTCAACTTTAAAACCATTTCCCGGTGCTTGTCGGCTGGCACACTCTTATGGATCCCTCGCCCACTGACTGGCATCGTCTTTAACCACACCAGTTCCTCGTGAACACGAGCACTTTCATATGCATGAGTTGCTGCTTCCGGTGTCATCTTTTCAGTCTCGATGAGATGGGTTTTCAGTTTGAAAGTGGCAAAAGCATTGTGACATCGAGGGCATAGCGTCACGTATCTCAATAAAGTCTTTTCTCCCTTGCGCTTGTTGCGAAATCTGAAAGAGTTCTCATCATCATCACCACCACCATCTTCGCAAGACTCCTGCTGCTCTAAGACTTTTTCCGGCCCTGCATCTGCCACTCCACTCGATATTTCAAACTGGGCGGTGCTTGATCCAGCAGTGCTGGTCAAAGCTCCCGCTTTATCATCGTGAGGCTGCGTCACGAACCGAGAAAGAATGCGCTGGTTCTGCTGCCTTAAAACGTCGCCACGGCCAAATCCGTCTACAAGAAGAGTCAATAGTGAGAGTGGCAACAATGCATCACTTAAGGCTCGACTGGCAGCTGGTAGTAAGCCAATATTTGGGATCAGAGAATTGATTATGTAGTTGCTTCGCTCAGCCAGCTCTTTTACATCCATTTTAGGACAGTTAGCCTTCCGTTTCTGAATCTCGATGAGATCGCGATGAAACGTTTGTAAGAGTTTAGCCTTTTCTGCCGGGAAGTTATGAGCAAGCTCATAATGGCGCCGCATGTGTTTAATTAAGCCCTTGCCGTTGCACGCTGGGATCATGCAATCCTCTTGATGGGTCTCGCAAACAGCTTTGGGCGTTCTTTTAAAAATTGCCCGAATAGGCTTCTGTGCAGGCGCTCCAGACTCCTCCTGTCTGGCAGGGTCATCTGGACCTCCTCCAGCGCCATCAGCGTGCTGCTCTTCGTCGTTCTCCCTGCAAAGAGAAAAAACGAGAGCATGCCATCAGTCTATAAGTCAAGATAAATTGCATTATCTCCAACGTTATAAGTCAAGAACAATTGAACATTCAAATGAGCATTGCCTGTGAGACAAGTCTCACTAACCGTGCCATGGCAAAGCCGTCCACGATCGCTGATCTTGCCTTTATCTTTAATAGATATTCCTCTATGCCATGAATTATGGAGGTGCTATTACACAGGAGGTTCTCGAGCTCAACATCCGTAGTGTGCCCAAGCACAGGCTCCTTCTTGCATGGGTCAGGATTTACCTTTCCCAACTTTTGGTCTCTGGCCGCGACATTCCGAAAGATGTCTATCCCATCAATTGTGTCAGATGGGAGGGGGGGACGCAGTTGCCCTNACCCTCCCCCCTTTCGGGATCTGTCGTGAACGCATAAATCAACGTACAGAGATGGTTCTAGTACCGTTCGATGCGGCAGAAAGTAAGCTTTAAGATGAGCATAAAAACCGGAAAAGCCAAAAATTTCGACTTTTACCCCAGACGCTCCCCTTAACATTGCATGGCTTGTGTTAAGAACTTATATCAATTGACATGAATGATCTCCAGTATTATTATTTGCAATTGTCGGCTCTATTTTTATCTATTCATTGACAAGCAAGGAAGAAGACAACTATGAAAAAAAGTGGAACTGGATTTAGAAAAGCAAACCTAATATGAGTAATTAAGAATCAAAATTCCCATAACTGCTAACCAATTATTGAATCAGGATGAGGGTGCTTCATACCAAGTTATACTTGCATAATATTTCAGACTCAATACTAAGGAAAGATTTGTCTCATTAAACCTAACTAGAATTATAGAATTAGCATTCTGCACATTTTTTTTCGTGTGAAAATCTATGCAGGAATTGCTTTGATAAACATTAATTTGCACATCAACCCCACCAACCTCATTTCCATATATGAATGGTTCCTCTTTGATGGATACTTCTTCAGTTTCATCCTCAGGTTCCTCTTTGATGGATACGTCTTCAGTTTCATCCTCAGGTTCCTCTTTGATGAATATTTCTTCAGGTTCCTCTTTGATGGATACTTCTTCAGTTTTATCCTCAGGTTCCTCTTTGATGGATATTTCTTCAGTTTCATCCTCAGGTTCCACCTTGATGAAGATAGCAGGAACTTTGAGGACTGGTGGAGGTTCAACCTTTTCCAAGGCTGGAAAATATGTACATAGGTGTACTGGTACCACTGGGCTATGGAGCAAGATATCTCATAGTAAATATAATGCACACTAAATTAATGAGTCGTGTGAGCTTCAGACAAAAGTTAATATCACTCAGATGAGTGAGACTCTTGAGGTGGCATATTACCACACAATGTTATCAAATCTTGTATTGAAACTTATAAGAAATGAATATAAATGAGGACTAAATAAGATAATTTGACATAACCTCAGTTCCTGCCCTGCATAGTAACAATTGATCAGTCAGCATTGTGATAAATGAGATTTATTAGTAAATATTTTGTTTATAATTCCCTAATATAACTCAAATTTTTATTCAATATATGATATGTTTGATAATTCTAGTATCAAATATACTTTACTATTCTACTATAGCACTTAATTCATCTAGAAAGAAAAAGTCTTTATTTTGCCATTATTGATTTGTGAGGCACATGGAATCTGGCTAACCTTCAGACTTTACTTTGCTGCCACCAGGAGATGCTTGAGTGAGGCTCTGCTCAGGGCATCTGCCACTCCTGACTGCAGCATCGGAGAGTTGGTGCAGCACAACACTGCATTCTTTGGTAATGGGCGCCATCACCAAATGTGATGCTGGTTATAAATCACTGAGGTTGAAGTTTTTAATTCATATTGTTGGCAGCAATAGTAGTAACACTGGAGGGATACAGGAAATAATAAAGTTCAATCAAGGCTCATAATTAGGCTTTAACTTTAACATATGCAACAAAACCTATTTGTCCCAAGTTACATAAGCATACAATTGATTGCTTTATGCATGCATAAGCAATATTTGATGCTGACAAATTGGCTACATTTGAATGTGGCATACATAATACAAATAGAAATTGTCTTGTAATAGAATTTAAATTCCACGGCATGTACATAAGACATATTTTTGGTCCATTTTTTGGTCAATATTTTTCATTAGCACTGGTAAATAGAAAATTAAGGTACCAATGGAAATTTTTAATTCATTAACAACATTAAACCTGCTTAAAGAAACAAATTCTGCCAACTAAGACACAAAAATATATACATTGCTATATTGAGGTGCTACATCAAAGAAGTTAAAATATATGAGCTCTATTTTATCTTCATCATTACATTAGTTATTAGAACCCAATCACTAATCATCAAGCAACACTTATTGGTATTTTTGGAATAAATGTATTCACTTGATTAATCATAATACAATAATGTACTCAATAGAGATAAAATCATACTTATTTATACTTGTTTACATCTATGAACATGCCAAGTCTGAGTCATAACAAAGTCAAGACTGTTGTTAGTGCAATGTAGTTTAGAAACAATGGAGAATATATCAAATTGTAGTGATTTGTCGTGGTTTGGGATTTCTTGAGAATTGTAACAATTAATTATCTAACAAGAAATTTTGCTTCAAATTACAAATTTTCTTTTCAGCTCAGCTGAAATTAAAGGTGGTGACCTCTTCTATTCCCCTTGGTGGCATAAAACAGTTGGGGAGTATTGAGGTAACATGACATGGTGTGGAATATTATTGTGCAAGTAAACAACAATATTTTTCACAAAAATGGCATAAACTTGATTTATCAGAGGCAAAGAGTGATTCTTTATTTTTTCATTGCACAACAGGCCATGGCTGTTGTTGTCAAAACCCATCCTAGTAGTGGCAACTAGGTAGGGGAGGGGCAATTGTTCAGTTTTTCAGGGCACTATGGCAACATCTAGTTCCATGACTAAGACTTGCTGACCCACCAGAACCATTTTTATTGCATTATACTACACTTTGGATGAGACATCACATGCTCAATTTCTTCTAAAATGAAAAAAATATTTTTATTGCTTTTTCTTGGCTAAAATTAAAGATTTTGGATAATGTGTGTGCACAGCCCAAGTTTGTGGCCCAAAATGGCTTTTCACAACCTGAAATAGGCAGTCACAGCTTGAAATTCCATGAATTTGTGGCTTCAATAATCCACTTGCAGCTTGGCAAGCCAATCTGGAATACTGGATAGATTTAAATAACTTGAGGGCAAAAACATTCATTTCATATGTGATTCATGAAAATAATTGGCCAAAATCTGTCAATTTTCTTATTTTACATTGAAGAAGATTTGGAAGCATCATAATAACAGGTGAGATAGACCACATTCATAGATGTTTTTGTTTCATTTAGCTCTCAGGTGGCTTTTGCCTCATTTTCCAGCTAGGTTCATGAGCAGAATCAGAATTTTCCTACATATGAATGAAATCTCACAGTTCCAAAAAAGACAGATTTTCATACATTTGGAATCTTGCAGTCTGATTGTGCATTGTTGTTATTTATTAGACAGTAAGTAATAAATCTAGCAAGAATTTTGTGGCTCCAGTGAGGCAGAAAAGGTCAAGTTGCAGCTCAAACGGTAAATATATTCCATGCAATTTGAGCATAGATGTTTTTCATAATATTTGGGATACAGATCTCCATTATGTGTATGATTTAGTCATAGAAGAATTTTTCTATGATACATTTGGTCATGTTTATGAAAATTAGTCATTTTTATTAATCATTTTTGCTATAGAATACAATTTTGCTATAGAAGTAATAATGTAGAACTGATCGTAGACAACCAAGGAATTTACTACAGCAGTTTTTGCCATTAACTTGAATAGTTTTCAGTACCATTTCATGTTTTGTTTTGATACAGTATAGTAAGTTGTCATACAATAAGATTTTCATGTTCCTTATTGGGCAGCATGGTACTCCAGAATTATTTCTAGCTAGGCTTGAGCATCACAGTAACATTCTGACCAAACAAGAAAAAATGGGATATCATGTAGATCAATTTATATGCCTGTTCAAACTCTGTCACATGCTATTTAAGTAAAAAATTGCCCCTAAACCTGCAGAATGACTAAAAAATAATTAAGCTCAGTAATGCAAGGCAATCCTACAAAACAATCAACTGGATTGTGCCACCAAATACGGCATGGCCACATCTCCATGACTTGAAAGAACCAAGAAATGCCAATCAAATATCAGCAGCTGTCAATCAACTGCTAGCCCTATTTGTCAACATCAAAGACCAAGTGTAAAATTGGGCAGAAGTCACCCATGAATCAGACAAAAATACCTGTGAATCTAGCAAATTTTGCCCATTCCAATGGCCTTTTCCCAATTTCTTCCACAAAAAATCTTTTTACATGTAAAATCAAATATTGCCTGAGAAACAATTGTTTTTACCAGAAATTTAAGGAATTTTCTGCATGATATACTAAAATTAAATTTCTGCATATTTTTTTAAATATTAATTAATTTATATTTTTAGTTACAATTTAAATTTTTTTAATTTTAAATGTACTAATTGTACTAAAATCAGCAAAATGTAATACAATTTTCTAGATTAGAATGAATAAAATGAATTTCAGGAGAATCAATCAATTATATAGTAAGACATATATATTCATTCCAGATTTGTTGTTGAATGCCATAGCTCAATTCTGTCGAAAGTACAAAAATTAGTACCTCTGAGGCTCTGACAGCAGTATGAAATTCTAGGAATAGAAGTTCACTTGCAAAAAAGCTTTCCAAGCTTTCCAAGGTGGAAATTTATGATACAGCGCTCTGCCAGGTGACTGACTATAAAGGAAAAGAGGGATCAAGAGTGAAAACTTTTTCATTGTGAAGTGCCTCAGATTTGTTATAGAAATGTTTATAGTCTCTTGTTTGATTGATATTTTTCATTTTTCTTCTATTTGATAAATTTTTTGAAAATTATCCAGGCCATTTGTTTGTAATGATTAAGAATAGTTAGTTTAAGTATCAAGTTAACCAGCACACATACCATATTTGGCACAACTAATCACAGCTGGAAAGGATGACATCACAATCCTACCAACTAATCACATCTGGAAAGAGGATGACATCTCACTCCCATCAACCTATCACAGCTGCAAAAAGATATAATCAACGGACTGGGTAGTGGAAAGTATACAATGGACTGGAAGTGGAAAGTTCCTGACCTTTTCAAGCTTTCAGGTCCTAATTTCCAATATGCTATGGTTACCGGTTAATTTAATACCCCTCTAGAATTCCACTCTGTCTGACAGCCTAGCACTAGCAGCAAATCAGAGAAGAAGACATTTGAAAATAAAATTTTTTAATTTTTAGTATCAAATCATTTTCCATTTTCTCATCTAATGAAAAATTAAACCAATGCTTTATGTATGATGAGGCTGGAATCCATGATACTTTCCTGGTCTTAGACCAGTGGTCTATGTATATTAAATGACAAGAATGAACTTGAGGAAGCATCTAAAACGTCTGTTTTGTCACTATCTCTGTCAGGGAAGTGAAATTTCCAGCTGGGCATCCTGATTCCATTTGCCTATAATTGCCACAAAATTTGGTTATTTAATGTGTCATATATGTATGACATATGCCTCATATGGTGAACATGCACAATGCCCAGAGAGATAAGTTTCCAAACCAGGCGTCAGCCGACATCAACCGACTGCCGATATACACAAATAGAGGCTGACGGTTTCCATGACAGAATACAGCAAAACTTTCTTAGACAAGAAAGGCACACTATCAACCATCTCACTGCCATGTCTGTAACTACAGTTATTCAGGATTGAACGAGTCGCATCGGAAAAATATAGGCTATTTAGGGTGTTGCAGTCTTATTGAAATTTGTTGTTATCTGTTTTCAGGTGACTGGAGGTGCTCTCAACAGGGCAC